TCTTGTTTATATATTATATTTTAACTTTTACTGAAATATATTTCACAGAGAAAAAGTAGAGGAAGTTTACTGTTTCGAAATAAAGAATTTTTCGCTAACGTTCCAAATCACAAAAATAGATAGAAAAGAATTGGTACAATTTTCTAAAAGTTGGGAATCAGGAATCATTTCAAAACCCTAGCAGATCAATGCTTATTTAATGGTATTTCTACCAGTACAAAATTTGTAAAAATAGTTTAAATCCCCCACCCAAAAAATACAAAGAAGAGATGAATGGAAGAAATGGCATGGTCTAAGATGAAGTTCTGGCAAACTTCATTCTTTTGGCGATGGACAGGCGGTAATATTTATTTTTCTGCCAAGGCAAGAATCGATAATAAACGCCATATTTAAGTGCTTTCATTGAACACATTCTGACAATCTATAAAAAAAAAAAAATTCCAACAACAAAATATTTGCTGATGGAATTTTATTGCACATTAAATTAATCTGATTCTTTAAATGCTGAATAGTTTAGAATCGATTGTTGCAAAACGCAGTTTAGAGGTGCGATACCTGGGGACCTAGCTGACCAAATAAGTGGTCGCGCTCTTGCAAGCCATGCATTTGGTAATTTGTAATCGAAAAACTCCAGAGACGGGAGTAATATGCAACTCTACAGTCCTGAAGCAAACAATGTTGACTGTTAATCAACTCTGGAGATTTGGCCGGGGCAATGAATCAACAGGTTTAAGTACTTTTCATCTGCAATGTTTCTATTATGAATTAAAGCCAGTAAAATGTTGATAATGACAAACTCCATCCAAACGTGATATTTACAAATTATTTCTGTGTGTGGTTCAAATGGTTCAAAATTTAACGTTAATAAAGCAGCCATCTTAATTCTCAATTTGCTTTTCTTCTATTTTTTTCAAATGCTCTAGCTTTGCATTGTCCCTCCCTCGATACACACACACACACACACACACACACACATATATATATATATATATATATATATATATATATATATATATATATATATATATATATATATATAAAGAAACAACAATAAAATATATAATCCGGTGTTCTTATTGATATTATTTATTTTTACAAATTAGTGTTCAGTGTAAATTTACAGGGCATAAACGTTATAAATTAACTGATTTAAAATATGTTTTTTCGCTACATAGTAATAACCAGGTTTCAAAAACTAAAGTTAAAAACTTCAAATTTACTTGATTTAAAAAGAAATATAGTCTATTGTGGCTCGTGGGGCACAGTCCTATGGGTAAAAGAGAAACTCGGATGAGTTCAACCATGGAATATATGATCGAGCGGCGCTATATCGAGTCTGATTGGCTACCTCTTCGCCACCGAGGCCCGATGGAACAGTTGGTATGACGTTTGTCTGATAACGTAACTATCCGATTTTCAATTCTCGGTAGTGGATGCGTACTGCTGATGAGTCCCAAATATAGGACAAAACTGGCGTCCAGTGCTTTCTGCATTCTGTTGAGGTTTCTTCTAGACTCGATGAATTACTTAATTATAATTATCTCAAATCCTCCCTAATTTCTATCACATCATATATATATATATATATATATATATATATATATATATATATATGTATATATATATATATATATATATATATATATATATATATATATATATTACGATAAACGTGCAATCAATTCACAAATACATGAATTATTCACAAAAAACTAATGCAAAGGTTAATGCTTTAAATGGCGAGACATCCATCATCGCAAACAATTCAAATAGTATAAAAACCTCCAGATCCGTTATGAATGAATTGATCCTTGTTTATATAAATTTCGCCGTATTAGTTGTTATTTTTACTACAAGCTTTCGTCTGTTCCTACAGACATCTTCAGGTATAGAATAGATGTTGTTCTTGGTTTTTTCTTAGTAATAAGAGGACAACGAAAATATGTGTTGTTGTATCCGAAAATGCTATTGAAAAATGAGTTATTGGTTTTGGAACGCGCCAAAGCAACGCTGAGTTTGATTTTAAATTTTTAAAATGTTTGTGTTTATACCAAATATGGTGTTGAACAAATTTTTACTGGTAAATTTTTCTGTCAAAGTGGCATGAACTATATTGTTCAATAATTACAGTAATGTCGCACTTATTATCCAAAAGTCGCACTTGGATCAGTTATTTAAATTACGATAAACTCATTTTCAATAGCATTTTCGGATACAACAACACATATTTTCGTTGTCCTCTTTATTACTAAGAGAAAAACCAAGAACAACATCTATTCTATACCTGAAGATGTCTTTTCTAGGAACAGACGAAAGCTTGTAGTAAAAAATAACAACTAATACGGCAGAAATTTATATAAACAAGGATCAATTCATTCATAACGGATCTGGAGGTTTTTGTATACTATTTGAATTGTTTTATGATGATGGATGTCTCGCCATTTAAAGCATTAACCTATTAGTTTTGTATAATAATTCATATATATATATATATATATATATATATATATATACATGAAGAAAAATATACGGAAAAAAACAAACAAAAATCCTAATATGCAATTATGCTATTTTAATGTTAATATAATATCAACGTCAGACGTTTCGGTCTAATAGACCATCTTCAGGACATATTCATAAAACATAATTAACATTAGACTATATTTAATTCAACATGAAAAGACGATGGACATAAGAGTACGACTAATCAAAACAGATAACTGAAATTTTTCAAGATCAGCGTTCCGTTTAAATATGATCACGTCGGCGTCACATAGGCGATGTTGTGAAAACGTATTCCTAAAATATAGAAGTTTGAATGAAAAATGAAAAGAATTTTATTTTAATCTAAAACTTATACGTACGTTTGTCGAGCATTAATCTTGCTAGAAAAGGGAAATATTAAAGAAACCAGGTCTAGTATTCACCGTGCGTGAGATAGATATTATGCTTACTTCATAAACGTCCGACGTTGACATTATATTAACATTAAAACAGCCTAATTGCATATTAGGATTTTTGTTTGTTTTTTCCGTATATTTTTTCTTCATACTGTCGGATCTATATCCATATATTTTTGCTTATATATATATATATATATATATATATATATATATATATATATATATATATATATATGTGTGTGTGTGTGTGTGTGTGTGTGAAAAGTGTATATAAATATAAATAAATATATATATGTATAATTATTTATATATTATATGCGCGGTACTTATTAGAAAGCGCTCGATATTTGCGTTAGTACGATGAATGACAAAACGACGAAATTTCCCCCACCACTTCCACAATAACACCAATACACGCAATCTGTAAAGCGTGAAACCCAGGGTCACAAACTCACATCTATCTAACTAAATATATATATATATATATATATATATATATATATATATTAACACTCTTCCGTCGTTTTTCCGAAGTATGAGCGTCAAGCAACTTCAAATTCTAGGAAACGACAGCCAGACACCTGCACATATGATATGATTATAGTGGTGAACGATTTAAGTAGAAACAAACACTCTTTTGGAAGAGCCAAATACAGAAAACTGGTGCACAAAAGTGTCACAAGGTCCCCAAACAACCCTCCACAGGTTTTGAATTCAGAGTTGTCCTTCTCGTAGAGCAATTGCTATCCAAATCTATAGAACCCAATCCTTCTTCTTATTTACAGATTACTTCGAGAGAAGAAGCGGATTCATGCTTTCCCCAAGGGTATTAGTACGTAAGTGAATATAATGGATCCAATTGGATTTCCATTCGTCCATCCGAGCCGCTATCCACTATTCCACCATGCCTCTCATATATATATATATATATATATATATATATGAAGAAATATACTCTTAAGGTGTGCTATATTTATGGGATAAAGTGCTCAATATCAGAGATAGAGCGTGTGTAAATATAAAATTGAACAGTGAAGTCAACACTTAGAGGCTACAGTTTGTTTCATGTTAGACGCAATCGTCACGGCACCTGTATATATATATATATATATATATATATATATATATATGCATGTATGTATGTATGTACGTATGTACGTATGTATGTATGTGTGCGTATATTGAGAGAGAGAGAGAGAGAGAGAGAGAGAGAGGGAGGGAGAGAACGAAAAGAAGAAAAAGAAATACATGTAACTAGAGTTTATGTCTGTTGGGATCTGCAGTGAGCATTTTTCAATGTCACTTTTTATATTTTCTTTATTTTTTTAATTTCTAACATTTTTTTAAAATTTTTTATTGATTTCTAATATATTTTGTTATTTTTCGAACTTTTGTAGACATGAATATATATTTTTTTAAAGAACTGGCATTATCATGTTTTATAAAAATAGATTTTATGAATTTTTCACCTTCTAGAAATGTTTCACGTCTAAATATTTCACATTAAGGACAATGTTTTCTTTTCTCTTTTTTTTTCCTTCCCACATTTTCACACCGTCTTTTTTTTCCTCAAAATTTTGTTTTGTTTTCATTTTCTTTTGTCGCCAAAATTCTATTTTGATTTTCCCTTACATTTCAGGACTTTTTTTCCACAACTCTTAAAATTTTTTATTCATTTTTACATTATTTTTCTCTTTCGACACCACATCAAAATATCTTCTTTGTCTTACTCTACACGTCACACTGCACAAATGCCAATCGTCGAGTCCTTCAACATCTCCCTCTTATTCCTTCATGTCGTATGGGATCATGGACCTCCACAATTTTCTATCCCGTGTAGCTTTCGTAACGTTTCACTTTCTGCCATCATGGGCAAGATCCGTAAGACGTTAGACTACATCCGGCAGCAAAACCTCGGGAGGTTTTGAGGAGCATTATTGGGATTTTCCCAATTATATTGGTAACAAAAATATTGTGACGCCGGCAAGAAGAAAAGAACCCAAACACAGTTGAAAAATCATGTATTTGTAGGAAAACAGAAGTAAAGTTTCTAATTGCAAACAGTCGGTTTGCGGGACTTGTCTGCAAAATACGTCCTTATAACAGTTTTATCTTTCCTGTTTGGCTTGGTTGAAGAAAATAGAGTCCTGACTCCTGTGCTTCAGTTGCGGTCGAAATCCTCACACGTGTCCTGATGTTTAAATGACGGAGTGCAGATGGGTAACGTGTTGTCTCTGAGGTTACCGACAAGCAAAAGAGGAAGAGCGTTTGTAAAAAACGCTCACGTGGGGATTTGGTGAAAGTCTAAAAAGGTAGCCTGTGATTGGTTGTTTTTCATCCAATCACAGGGCACCCAGGTAGCGACTCCGTAATAATTTCAATAGCATGGAACCACCTCTTAATTGCTGCTGTTACTACTTCCACCCTGACCCGGGGTGGTAGCACCTGTTAGGGTTCCAGCTATGGGTAAATTGTTAACTCCCAAAATGTGGTCAAAACACTAGGAAAGTGTAAAAAAAAGAATTTAATACCATCAATAAGATTTGTTAAAAAATTATTACCAGCAATCCATTTTAGAAAAAAACAAATTTTTGAAGAAAATATTACCAGCAATAAAAAATCTTGTCGGTATTAAATAATCCATTGAGGTTGACAAAACAAACCAAAGTCTGTCTATATTTCTGAGATGAGGTATTATGTACATTATTTACATCATTCGGACTATTGTCCTCATCTTTGTCGCCATATTTATCACAACGTTTCGGCCGTTGTACGCTCTGGCCTTCTTCAGGTGGTTGGAATTTCGAACTGAACCCTTTATTTCGCTCACTGGGGTAGACTGCTCTAGTTCGACCTGCCATGTTTTTAATGGATGTCAGTTATCAGTTATCTCCTGCTAATTTCCCTCTGAAAGTTCTCCAATGCCTTAACCGGGTATTGAACTCACACTCTTTTGGTCCTGTCACTGGATCTAACCAACGCCTTTATCCACTGTACCATGTGTCCTTGAGGACAAACAAAACAAACCAATCCAATATATACTGAGATAGATAGATAGATAGATAGATAGATAGATAGATAGATAGATAGATAAAAAATATTACCAGCAATAAAAACTTTGTCGGCATTAAATAACCCATAGAGTTTGATATGCCGAAAAACAAAACAAACCAATATATACTGAGATAGAAGGCATCTCGAGGCGGTGTAATTGTTAGCGAGCTTGACTGACTAGAACATTTACGATTGAGTTGTAAGTTCGATCCTCACTGGGTGCCCCGTACTTTAAGCATTGTGTCACATCTAGGCAATGCTTGGAAAATCACTATACTTAGATAGATAGATAGATAGATAGATAGATAGATAGATAGATAAAAAATATTACTAGCAATAAAAATCTTGTCGGCATTTGAGGCTGATTTGCTGTAAAACAAAACAAAATAAACCAAACCAATATATACTGAGATAGATAGAAAGTGTTGTGGTAGGATCCACCTAATTTGCATAGTGGAGTACCGACTATATAAATATGGTTGGTACCGGGAAGACAAGAAGGGGAATCAAGGGATTCAAGCCAGAGACTCTGCCTGACTGCGACTAAGTCAACACATTCTCCAGGAACGGTCTTCCCAAGAATATACAAAAGACTATATGTAAATATTGTGTACGCTTTCTTGTTTCAATACATTTTGTTCTTAGTACATTTTGTGTTGTATTATTATTCCATGCATTAGTCAAGTTTCAACAGATAGATAGATAGATAGATAGATAGATAGATAGATAAAAATATTACCAGCAATAAAAATCTTGTGGGCATTAAATAACTCATTCAGGTTGATGACGTAAAATATATCAAACCAAACCAATATATACTGAGATGGATAGAGGGCACCTCGAGGCGGTGTAATTGTTAGCGAGCTTGAATGACTAGAACATTTACGATTGAGTTGTAAGTTCGATCCTCACTGGGTGCCCCGTACTTTAAGCATTGTGTCACATCTAGGCAATGCTTGGAAAATCACTATACTTAGATAGATAGATAGATAGATAGATAGATAGATAGATAGATTATCAGCAATAAAAATCTTGTCGGCATTTGAGGTTGATATGATGTAAAACAAAACAAAACAAACCAATATATACTGAGATAGATAGATAGATAGATAGATAGATAGATAGATAGATAGATAAAAAAAAAATATTACAGCAATAAAAATTCTTGTCGGCATTAAATAACTTATTGAAGTAGATATGATGTAAAACAAAACAAAACAATATACACTGAGATAGATAGATAGATAGATAGATAGATAGATAGATAGATATGAATACACTGAGATAGATAGATAGATAAAAAATATTACCAGCAATAAAAAAATCTTGTCGGCATTAAATAACTTATTGTGGTAGATATGACGTAAAACAAAACAAAACAATATATACTGAGATAGATAGATAGATAGATAGATATGAATACACTGAGATAGATAGATAAATAGATAGATAGATAGATAAAAAATATTACCAGCAATAAAAAAATCTTGTCGGCATTAAATAACTCACTGAGGTTGATATGACGCAAAACAAAAAACAAAACAAACTTTCTGCCATCGTTCTCACCACTTCTTTCGATACCCATTCAAACAATCTGCTCAGGTATGTTGACGCTGCCTACTAATCTCTCTTTTGCCTTCGATATATCTTATGTGTGTCTAATTCTCCAAACACTCTTTCTACATTATTAGAAATTTCAACTTTTTTTTTTGATTTTGAGATTGTTTTTTCTTTTATATTTTCTTAAGAATTCTTCGTTACTTACGCGCTTCTTACAGTATATTCTGCAGCACCCAGTCTTCTTATCATCTGCGAAGAAATTGTCCATCATTCACTGACATATATGAAAATTGATATTAGCCAGTAGTTTAGCACACATTTCATTGTTTCCAACGGAAATATTCTGTTTCTTAGCACTTCACTTAGTTTTTGCCATTCCAGACATCCTTCGGATTTCGGTGTCATGATTTCCTTCCTCTGTTAAAACATTTCCCAGATATTTAATCTTCTGTCTATGTTTGATTTCATCTACTTCAATTCGTTATTCGCTTCGTGGGATTTTCATATTTTCTGACAACTATACACCGTCTTTTAAAAAGAAATTTAAAAATTGACGGGTAGTACTTTCTTCTCGCTTTCCTTTACCCTCACAAATGCAAAATATTCTTACTGATCAACAGCGATCACTCACGACAGGAAGTAAAAAAAACAAAAATCTCCTGCTTGTCCTCATCATCAGCTCTCCACAAATCACAATAATTCTTATCTTCCGGCATTTTCTTTCCACGCACACCAAAGCTCCTTACTCTCCTCAGCCATACTCTCCAAAAAAAAGTATTCATATTTTTTCCGTTGTCATTCATTCAATTCTTTTTCTTCTTTAATGTTCCGTGTCACTTCTGAATGTAGATGATCATATCTCTCCACAACTTCCTATTCCTCGCAGCTCTATATCTGTCTCCTTACTATTCACCCCAATCCCTGTTCGGGCATTCTTTCACGCAAATTCATTTGTTAAGGTATTCGCTGTTTCTCTCTGCCCATCTTGTTTTCGGGGATGACGATAAACTTCATCCGGCACCAATCCCTCTGATCGGGACGTTTTGAGGAGCTTGGAACAACTTCTTAATTGTTAGTGTATCTAGGTTAACCCTGACACGGGATGGTAACATCTATTAGGATCCCTGTAGCAGGCAAATATTCAACAACCAAACTGAGGTCAAAGCTCCATGAAGATATAAATATAATTTTTATAGTGAAAATATAAGCAATACATTAAAAAAAAATTCAAAGAATAGAACTGACTCTTAACAAAAATCGTCTGTAAAAAATACGTCAATGAAACCTGATGTTCAAACCGATTCCTTACCCAAAATTCGTGTCTGGTTTAAATAATCCATTGGGGTTGATATACCGTCAAACAAAATCTACAAAACCAAAAGGGTTTTCGCAAATCGGACACGAAACTTTTTGTATATATTCAAGTGCGAATATTTTTTTATCATGCAACCCCTTGCAACCTCTCTGAAATGTTGTCGATTGAGTGTTCTTCACATTGTTGAGACATGTGTATCTATATGGGGCGACTTAAGAGAAAAAGTGGTATTACTTTCGGAGAGATACAAGCATATATATCGATGTGGCCTGAATGATTTGAAAAGTGGTGAGGGCCGTGAAATTTTTAGTACTTTTTTCTGTTTGTCTCTTTTTCTAAACCAAACCAAACCTCTGCCTTCAAATATATCCTTTGGATGTTAAAATCTCCCAACACTCTTTCTTCGTTTTCTACCTCGAATATTTCATTTTATTGATTCTCTTTGGAAGGATCCTTTTTGTTAGGATTTTTTTAAAAAAAACTTCCTCGTTGCTTCATAGGAGTCTCAGCATCCGTCGTAGAACTGCATCTCTGTCTCTTCCAACCTTTGTAAAAAATTATTGCTATAAATAGGCACGATGGAATAATGGATACCGGCTCATTTATATTGTTTGCGAAGATGTATTCTCGCCATTTAAATCATTAACCTCTACATTTGTTTTTTGTGTGAATGATTCATGAATTTATATATATATATATATATATATATTGCTATAAGGAGAGAATGATTTTTTTCATAGAATTTCAGCGCCCTTTTATATACTCGCTTTATTTACATTAAGCGCAACGATATCTTGAGGTTTTATGTTACTCAAGGAGTTTAATATACAGAATTCCGGAAAATCTTTGTGGAAAACACAACTATACTTAAACATGAAAACAAAAACGAAATTAAAACATCTTGAAGCTATATATATAAAACAGTTGAAACCTAACCTGAACAAAATAAACTATGAAAACTCCACAAATATACTCAAATGCCTATAACTGATAACAGAAGCCATTGGTTTATAGCACCGGCTTACCATACTTAACATGTCTCGTTTTTACTCTCGCGTGATCATGTGTGACATCATGAGCAGCGGTGCGATTTCCGTTTCCAGCGTCTCGTATGCACGAGTTTGTCGTTGCTTGGAAATGTTCCATGCAAACAAAAACAGACTATCATTATTGACATGTCCGTGTATTGTTTAATATATTGTAATGTTATTGTCATCTTTGATGAAGCTTATATATGATTAAAAAACATGTATCAATATGGTGATTTTCTTTCGTCTTTCAATGATAATGTTATTAAGCTTATCAGACAATATGAAAAGAATTTAGATAAAATAAATAGAAAAAAACTTGTCTATATTATTTAATGAAACATGCATCAATGAAATAATGCTGCTTAAATACACTTACACACATTATATATATATATATAGATTGTTCTATTTCCGCTTGCCATACCTCTTCAGATGTCTTAGTTATTTCCCTTTAACTCAACTCATGGTTCAAGGACACATGGTCCAGTAGATAAAGACGTTAGTTAGATCCAGTGACTAGACCCAAATAGTTGTGTTTTCAGTACCAAGCCACAGCAGTGTTGAACCAAAAACTTGCAGAGTTAAGTTAAACGGACACCCGAAAGAGTCATGGCCCGTGGAACTAGAGCAATCTGCCCAGGTGGACAAAATAAAGGGTTCAAGTCGAAATTCCAATCACCTGAAGAAGGCCGAAACGTTGTGAATATGGCAATGAAGTGGAAGATAAGAGTCCGAATAATTTAAATAATGCAAGTAATCATAATACCTCATCTCAAAGATATAGAGGGCGAAACGTTGTAAATATGGCAATGAAGATGGGGATAACAGATAGACTTTTCTTTCTTCCTAACATTCATTTTCCTATCTCTTAATGCTTTGCTTACATTGTAGAAGGCATTTTTCCCTGGTTCACGTGTCACATTTTCCGTCGCTGGTTACAAAGCTAGATAAATAAATTTCCAGCACTTGCTTCATTATGGCATTTCTAATTGACAGCTGATAATTTCTCTTGCTCCCGACCATATATTCAGTCCTCATGCTCACACTCCTTCTTGGCTTTTTTTGCAACCATGTTTTGGGGCCTATTGAAAGTTTATTTCTGAGCCTGTTATCAACGCATATTATCTGCGTATCTAAAGTTGATAAGATTATATCTACCGATAACAAATCCTCGAGGGTTTTACGCACCGCTCCTTAACGGTATCACATATTCTTGGTCTTCTTTCCCGCTTCGCTCTCTACAAAAACATTTTTTATTCCTTTTCATGTCTTTCTAAACGGTAAACAACTGGAATATTCTATTGAAAATCTGGATTACTACTGTTAGCATCGAAAATTGGCAGAATCAATCAAAAGAAGTAGAAGTTTGTATTCCTGTAATTTTCGCCAAAATATCTTCTTTTTTTTTAAGTATGTTCGACAGTCCCTGTTATTACGGAATAAATATGAAATCTCTTTCGAAAAGCTGGTTATTTTCTGTTCCTCGCTATTCAGTATATAATCTCAAAGATATACAAAGAAAAATACAGTATAAGAGAAAAAAAGAAAAAAATCTTCAAACTTTTCCATTTCTCTTGTTAATTTTCTTTACAAAAGACATGATGGTTACCCCGGACTTAGTCAACATCAACAGTGAGGCGATTCTGGGTGAATTAAAATTCCTACTAGGAAGGCAGGTGGAATAATGGATAGCGGCTCGGATTGACGAATCGGAGAGAGACGAGTTCGAATTACTTGCTTTATACCCCCCGGGAAAGGTATGAATTCTCTTCTTCTCTGGATCTATGTCAGCCTTAACCATGTATTGAAATCACAATCTTTGTGTCCTTTCACAAGATCTAACTAACGCCTTTATCCACTGTGTCCTCAAGGCCTTTATCCGCTGCGACGTGTGTTCTTGAGGGCACAGTGTATAAAGGCGTTAGTTAGATCTTGTGACAGGACCCAAAGATTGTGAGTTTAATACCTGGTAAAGGGGTTGGAGAACTTGGAGAGGGGAATGAACAGGTGATAACTGATAACTGACATCCATTAGACATGGCACGTAAAACTAGAACAGACTACCCTAGTGAGCGAAATGAAGGGTTCAGTTCGACATTCCAACCACCTGAAGAAGACCGGAGCGTACAACGGCCGAAACGTAATAAATATGGCGACAAAGATGAGGACAATAGCCCGAATAATGTAAATAGTGTACATAATACCTCATCCCAGAAATATAGACAGATACTGAAAAAATTACAAACACTACATATTTGTAGTTAATTACCGAACAATATAATTTTAAAACAAAATGGCGTACAGTGCATATTTATAGTAACTTTGCCAACAATAAATTTTATAGTAAAATTACCAATATTTTTTTCCGTAGTTAAAGTCAAACATCTGCGCTCAAAATATATTCAGTTGAAGCCACAAAACTGTGTTAAAATTATTTAGATAGCGGCATTAAATAATCGATGCCGCTAATCAAAATCAACCAACAATACAAAGTCTGCAAAGAAAGGAATCGTAATAAAACCGAAGACTTTAAAATGAAATCTCTGCCGAAGAATGTCATTGTTTGATATGTAGTATCTTTGAATAAATTATAAAATACATCTTTTTACGAAAAGGAGGATGTATATTCTTTTAATAGATAGCGGCTCGGATTGAGGAATCGGAAAACCAAGTTCGAATTCCAGTCGAATCCACTACATTCACTTATGTGGTAATAACCTTGGGAACGGTATGAATCCTCCTCCTCTTCTCCCAGCTATGGATAAATAGCAGAACAGACCGAGTTCTATAGCCTTGGATGGCAATTGGTCTACCGCAGAAAGAAGTGGCAACCTACTACGGGAAAAAAATCTGCCTAGTCAGCCATGTATCAAAAGATACTTGATCGCCCAAACGTATATCACGCATGGCACATAACTGACTGAAATTCACTTACGTGCTAATAATTTTAGGTACGGTATGGGTCCTCTTCACTCCCCAGTTATGGGTAAATAGCAGGACAGACCGTGTTCTGTAGCCTTGGATAACAACTGGTCTACGCAGAAAGAAGTGGCAACCTACTGCGGGAAAAAAATCTGCCTCGTCAGTCATTTATTTAAAGATACATGATCGCCTAAGCGTATATCACGCATGGCACATAACTGACTGATATTCTTGAGGACCAGGATATATTCTAACTTATTTCTCTGGGGTGTTTACTGCCATAAATAGGGAGAGATGTGATGTATTAGTTCATCACATTTTTTGATTTTTTAAAGACTTTGCTTAGTTTCCGGAAGGCAGCATTTGGAATTAAATACCGTTTCTTTGATTTACTCTTTCCGTATTTCAAATTGTTTTTGTTTTTCTCTTTGTTTTCTCTATCATACTG